GCAGTGCCACTTTTGATGGGAGATGAGCATAGATTGTAGACAAATAAAAAAAAACGCTATGGTTCGCTATGAGAGAAATGGCGCGGTGAGACGCAAGTCCAGGAAGAACGGAATAAGGTAGAAACACTTTTTTTTTTCCTGATGAAAGAAGAGAGTCTACTCTTTCTTTTGGTGTGTTCGGTGTTTACATAGTCATAGCACAAACTATTCTGTGGCTCTTGAAAAATCAGTCAAAATGCTCAAAAAACTCTGGCAGTATGGGACTCTGTTCTGAAAATGGGTAGACTCTCTTCTTTCATCAGGAAAAAAGATTTTGTTTCTACCTCATTCCGTTCTTCTTCGACGTGCGTCTCACCGGCGCCATTTCTCTCATAGCGAACCATTGCGTTTGTTTTTATTTGCTTACAATCTATGCTAATCTCCCATCAAAAGTGGCACAGCTACCTAGAGGGTAAATTTGTTAGTCCATACTCTGTCTAGAAGCCGATATTTACGGGAAAACTTTCGCCGATCGTCCCCCAAGCCACTCGCATTGAAAAACATAAAAGACGTCTATAGACGTCTTTGGCAGTCAGCGGTTGGATTTGAAAAGACGTCTATAGACGTCTTTGGCAGCGAATGAGTTAAAGAGAGGAAACAGTGCTAATTCCAACATGTGCTTCCCTCTAAATGCAAAGTGGTCCATACAGCAGACCTATAAACTGCTGTTGGTTCGCTGATTTTTATCGGCTACGCTGCTTAGCTTCTTCTTCTTGTTTCCTACTGGTGGTTGGCTTTGGGCGCAGTAGCGCCCCCTTCTGCTCTGGAGTGTAAACGCTTCCCTCTGAGAAAAAGGAGCAGCATGAACCGTACCCAACACACGCCAACCCAACCGAGACAGAACCCAACGGTTCAGACGGTTTTCAGAAACCGTCCCATCCACAGTATCTACTGTAACAGAGAGAGGAGGTGGAGGCACAGCCAGAGAGTTTAACACAAAAGTATAATTAGAAAGGGAATAATATGAGTCTAAAAGGAATAATACAATCAGTCATTTACATGGATTTACATGGAAATCAGCTGGGCTCTCACAGACAAAGTTCCCGGAGGATCTCAGTTGGCAAAGAGCCTCGATTTCCGGGTGTGAGGGACAGTTTTCCTCTGGGCCTCCAACAGGAGGACGAGTGCTATTGGCCAGTTAGCTCTGACAGGAACAGGCCAGGTCCTAATTCATGCAGGTTTCGGTGGAATGCGAATAGAAAGTGTGAATATTGAGTTTAAAGACGAGTATCTACTGTAACAGAGAGAGGAGGAGGCACAGCCAGGGAGTTTAACCCAAAAGTAGAATTATAAAGGGAATAATATGAATCTAAAAAGGAATAATACAATCATTCCCTCTTCCCAGGCCCTGCTGACGACCGTCACCTCCCCGCACATCGAGATCCACGAGGGCACGGTGCTGCTCACCGTCAGGACCTGCTACAACATATACCTGGCCAGCCGCAACCTCATCAACCAGACCACGGCCAAGGCCACCCTCACGCAGATGCTCAACGTCATCTTCACGCGCATGGAGAACCAGGCGGTCAGTTCAGCCCACGGGTTCCCACGTTTGGGTTACAAATCAAGCCTATCAGAGCATGTGTTAAAGTTTAAAGTTATTTAGTAGGGGTGGGACGGTTCACAAAATCCACGGTTCGGTTCGATTCACGGTTTTCGGTTCGGTTCGGTATATGTTGATTGTTAGGAAAATCTATTATGTCTTGTATAGTCAGGTTAAAACTGAAAGAAAAAAGCAGTCTGACATTTGATCCATTATTGTGACAGTCTTAGGTTAAAAGTAGGTGAGATTCTGGCATTGAAAGAGGAGAAACAGTGCTAATTCCAACATGTGCTTCCCTCTAAATGCAAAGCGGTCCCATATAGAAACACATTTTTTTCCTGATGAAAGAAAAAAGTCTACTCTTTCTTTTGGTGTGTTCGGTGTTTACATAGTCATAGCACAAACTATTCTGTGGCTCTTGAAAAATCAGTCAAAATGCTAAAAAAACTCTGGCAGTCAATGAGTTAATGAATAGCAGATATTCTTTTTTTATTTTTTTTAAATAAAAAAATTATAAATAAATAAAAAATAAATCTATTTAAAAAAAAATAGAGATTCTTTTTGTCTTTTTTTAAAAATAAAAACAATTACAAAATTAAAAAAATAAATAATTAATTAATTAAAAATAAATACAATTTAAAAAATAGCAGAGATTCTGAGCTAAATTCAGAAGCTGTGTTTGCCTTCAGGCAGCTACAATAATAAAACTCTGCTTCCAAAGTGAATAACCCAGAAAAAAATGAACTCTTATCATGTATTAATTAAAGTGGATTGGATTGGATGAGATTGTTCTTTCTCTGTGTCCAGGCTCTGGAGGCCCAGGACCAGGAGAAGAACCGGCTCAGCCTCCCCCAGCCGAACCCGTCCGGTTCCCCCCGCTCCAACCGGACCCCCGCCACTCACCCCCCGGCCCCCCCCCCCCCCCCCCCCCCCCCCCCCCCCCGGCCCCAGACGCCCCCCCCACCGGCGGGGACCCGGGCCCAGAGGGCCCCCCCGTAAACGGAGGAACGGAGCAGGTCACGCCCTCAAAAGGTGCCAAACGGAGTCCGAGTTAGACGAGTAAAGTCTGGCTGCAGCCTGTAGGAGCCTCGGGTGGATGTCCGACTCCTCCCACGTCCAAGTCGGCCATTTTGATTAGGTCACGTGACTAGCAGCTTTCTGAGGTGGAAAGGAAAGTTTACTGTCTATATGAAATCGGAAGATAAACCATGTCCTGACCCTAAACCTAGCCCTAACCCTAAACCTAACCGTGATCCTAAACCTAACCCTGACCCTAACCCTGACCCTAACCATAAACCCAACCCTAACCCTAACCCTAACCCTCCACCCTTCATAATTGATTAGGTCATGTGACTAGCAGCTTTCTGAGGTGGAAAGGAAAGTTTACCATCTATATGAAATCGGAGGACAAACGATGTCCTAATCCTGACTAACCCATAACCCTAACCCTAACTCTGACTCTAACCATAACCCTGACCCTAGCCTAAACCCTAATCCTAACCCTGACCCTAACCCAAAACCTAACCCTGACCCTAAACCCAACCCTAACCCTAACCTTAAACCTAACCCTAACCCTAACCCTCCACCCTTCATAATTGTGAGAAAATAAATATTTTTTGGTTAAACTTTTTTGGACTTATTGTACAAACCTATTTAACATCCACTATTTTAACATTATATTATGGATAGAGTTTAATTCAGTGTTTGCAAAATTCATTTTACTATTTTTAAATTAATGTCTATATTGCCATGAAGCAATTAGGATTTTCTTGCCTGGGATCTTCCTATTGGTGACCTAATCGAAATGGCCGACTTGGATGTGGGGAGTTGGATATCCATCCTTGGCTTCCTGCAGTCTGCAGCCAGACGGACTTGATAATGTTGGCATGTTGTTATTAGCCGTTAGCAGCAGCTAGCAATTCAAGGCTAATGTCATGTTAACGATCATAAACAACGTAAATAAATAAATAAATCAGAGAGCAGGGGGGGTGGTATCGATACTTTTGAAAATGACTATCTTATACAACGTTTATCAATACTTTTGACGACCCTAGTTCCATTATGAGGGCCAAAGCGTGGCAGGTTGCCGCTTTCATGTTTTTTTTTTTTTAATTTCTGCTCGATACAGATTCGGTGTTTGAGGAGGAAAGCGTTCAGCCGACCGAAGAAACCAACAAACCGGGAAACGGTTCCAGTCCAGCAGAACCGGCCGAGGGAGGGACGGGTACGTATGCTCCAACCTCTCATTTAAGCTCCGGGTTTGGGCTGATTTTGAGCTGAATAATAACCAAATTGTAATGGCTTAATACCTTTTCCTCGCCACTCTTGCAGGGCGTGAAGGATTTGACTCGTAGACGTTGGTTAAAAACTTACGCGATCCGATGTAAAAAAATGACTTGTTTATTGCGAACGTGAACTTACAAAAACTGGCCAACACAAATAAAATTAGTAACTTCACGATAAGAATAAAGCAAAAAGTCAACCTTACGGTAAGCAAAAACCCAAAACGTGAATCTTACGGTCAAAAAACTGTTGCTCCTCACCCTGCTCTGTTACTTTTCCTTTCGTTCTCACATCAAAGGAGCCTCATGAAAAAGATCTATCAAATATCAAATACAGAAAAACAATACAAAATAAACCCAAATGCCTATCAGTATACTAAACATTCTACATTCTTCACAATTAAATTACAATATTTTCCGCACTATAAGACGCACCCAAAAAACTCAAATTATCTCAAAAGCCGACAGTGCGCCTTATATTCCAGTGCGCCTCTACTGTAGCGTCTATTGTATGCGCCTTATAATGTGGTGCGCCTTGTTTATGGACAAAGTTTTAAAATAGGTCGTTCATTGAAGGTGCGCCTTATAGTGCGGAAAATACTGTATTCTAATCAGCAGATAGTAAATCACAATATCTATATGGCTCTAACACAAATAATAACGATTCTCTGTTCCAGTTGAGCCCCCCAGGGTCCGAACGGAGGGCCAGCAGATGAACGGCATCATCGAGGACCGAACCTCCGTTTCCTCCACAGACATCCTGGTGAGCATTTTACACCATTTACTCTGTGTCTGAAGAAAATTAATTTAAATTAAAAAAAAAATTAAAAAAAATTTTTTTTTATTCACACCATTGTTTATTCTCCCCTTTTATCTGTTGTAAGTACAACTTTCCATCATATGTTGAGTCTCATCATGTTATCAGGAACCTGCAAAGGAAGCCGCGTACCCTTTCAGACATCTGAAGATAATTAATTATTAATAATTAATTTATTAAAGTCCAGGAGGTCCTTTCTTTCTTCTAAAGTGACCCTCTAACAGTTCTTCTCATATTATGATTATTTAATTGTAATTATCTGATTGATTTCCCCACTGGAGGATGTTTAAAGTATTTTTATATTCTATTAGATTTAATCTATGTTGGATAATTGTAAATCTGTGCTTTAAGCAAATCAGTTGGTTTAATAAAGGAGGTTCTTCCTATCTTCTAAAGTGACCCTCTAACAATTCTTCTCATATTATGAGTTAATGAATTATTAATTAATTCATTTAATTGTATTTATCTGATTTATTTACCCCACCGGAGGATGATTAAAGTGTTTTTATATTCTATTCCATTTAATACATGTTGGATGATTTTATGTCTGTGCTTTAATCAAATCAGTTGGTGTAGTCAGATCAGAAATACTTTAATAATCCCAGAGGGAAATTATTTTTGTTACAAGCCCCATAAATAAAACAACAGCATAAACATATAAGCATGTCTATACATATATATATGTACAAAATTCCACACAGAATATAAATAAATATATAAATAAATAACTATTTGTATATATATATATATATAGGTTTAAAATAACTGGTAGTGATAATGTCAATAATTTAGGAAGTTATTTCTTTCTTCTAAAGTGACCTCTAACAGTTCTTCCCAGATTAGGATTATTTAAATATATTTATCTGATTTATTTCACATACTAAAAAGTATTTTAGTACTTTCTAAAGTGACCTCTAACAGTTATTGTCAGATTATGATTATTTGAATTGTATTTATCTGATTTATTTCCCCAACTTGAAGATGTTTAAAGTGTTTTTTATATTCTATTCCTTTTAATACATGTTAGATAAATGTAAATCTGTGCTTTAAGCAAATCAGTCGGTGGAATAAATCTGCATTTAAGGAGCTAACAGAGCATTATTGACCCCCTCCGTTTGTCCCAGGATGCGGAGGCTCTGCAGGGACCTCACAGTG